TCTACTGTGGAATTTGAGTTGCTATTCTTCGCTGTGGTGAAATGAAGTTGAATACGGTGAAGAGATCAGAAATTTTCTGAATCTTGATTATTGTCACTTGTGATTTTTAGAGGTAACCCATGATGAGTTACAAAATTCAAAAGACCTTCAACAATTGATATTCCTGTTATCGACTTTAAAGGGTATGTTCGAAAGGTTTGAATGCAGTGAGGGTCAAATTGAACTTAATGGCAGGGGGATCTCTGTCATATTTGTTTTTTAGTCATGTTTCACAATTGATGATATAATTCTCTATATCTATAGACATATTCGACCAATAATATCGTGAACCTAATGACATTTTCACTTCGTTCATCCCTCTAAGACCGGATTTGTATATGTAATAATACTCTAGCTTTTGCTTTTGTTCCTTCAAAGTTTCTACGTCAGTAAAAAATTTTGTACAGTGCAACATAAATCGATCAAGAGTTTCGATTTGGGATTTTGAATTTCTATGTGAGGAAGAGCGTTGTCTGAGAAGACATTAAATTCTTCTATGTCACGTTTTCGGCTTGGTTGTCCGAAGGAAAATTTTGTTCTTGGTCATTATCAAATTCTATATTTTCGTCAGGTTTGGGTATTTCGGTATTAAAATCGTAGGAATTTTGATATTGATCATGTTGACACTCAGGTGGAAAATATAAATTTTCATTAGGATAGAAAGGGTCTGGCACGAATTGATTGTCATATTCGTTAGAATGTAATTCTTCGAAAACAACGTTTGAACTCCTACGTTGTTGTCCATTTGAATTCATATCAGTATTTCCGAAATTTTGAAATCTGTGATTTTGAAATTGTCGGTGTCTTGATACTACAGTTGGATTTCTCGAGGTTGTCGACATTGGTTCGGGTTTAGGTAATCGGTTTTGTGGTATTTGATTAGGTTTGAAGACACTTTTTGGTGGTCCGAAGACGTCACAATTCGTTGGGAACCTAGTTTGTTGTTGCCTAGGTTGAACTGGTATAGGCTGATTTGGTCAAACTGGTTTTTGACTATATTGTGACTGGAAAGGGTTGAAATTCGCAGAAAATTGGGGGTATTGCTGAAAGTGGGGTTGGTGATTGAAATAATGTTGGTTATTGAAATTATGCCCTTGTGAAGTATTACCAAATTGTGGTTTAGGGACCAAATTAGTACTGGGAGTTGTATTCTTTGTATTGTTTGAACTTCCATTCATTCTTTCAAAGTTTTCAAATTCTTTTGCATACGCCATTGCGTCTTTCAGTGAAGCTGGTTTTTTAATATGCATATTAATTTTCAGGATTCCAGTACACCCTGCAATAAAGGTACTCAGTGATGTTTTATCGTATTGAATAATATGACATAATTTTTCGGGTTCGGTTCAATAGACATCATTACTTATTCTCTGGACAACACTATTTTTCAGCAGTTGTATTCGTCTCCCAAAATTATTAAGGTTTTCTCCCTTATAAGGGAGTTCTCGTGAGTTCTTGAACTAAACAATCTTAAGTCTTAAGTCCCTGCGATCTGAAAAACTTTGGCAAAGAGCATTTTTCACTTTTTTCCATGTATTCAATTCTATCCTATTTCCTACCATTGCTTCTGCTTTTCCTACTAATTTTTCTTGGATGCATTCAAGTATATGTTTTTGAAAAGCAGCATTTCCATATATGGCATAATCGTTCAACAGGCTTTGACAACGAGTTATGAATTTATTAAGAGTATTACTATCCCCATCGTAGGGTTTGATGTTTTCCAAAGGATATTTAAAAAGGTTCCAGTCGATCCTTTGAGGTTCCACTTGTGGCATGATTGGAATGTTTTGATTAGTGTCTTCGACTGACAGATTATTTAAAAGTTACAAAATATTTTTAATATCGTTCATAAAGTTTTGATTTTGATCAATAGAATTCAGTATTTATCGAGCGGCAACAATTCAACTTTCAAATTCACTATATTTATTATTATAATTTGTTATTTTCGCAAGTAATGTAATGTCAATATCCAATATTCAGTTGGAATTAAGGTCACTACCCTATCTTTCCCAAAGTCCTTAAAAAGAGGGTTTAGGAAAGTCGAAAAGGAATTTGGCACTTACAGTTTAGTAATTGTAGTCTTCTGGTTCCTTCCCCGATTCTTTCTTCTATAGAGAGCTCCTTGAATCTCTTCGATCCTCGCTGAAGAAGTTGAAACTTCAAAATCACGAAAACGATTTTTGGTACAATATAAATGTTCTTTTTCACGACCACGATAATCCTACCGACTGCGTCAATGTATTGGAAATTGAGAACTTAGTTTTTGAAAACAAAATCAAAAAGCGTTTATTCTCTTCGAGAGCAGTACAGAGAATGAATATTTATTAAGACAATTATTAAAATATTTGAAATATAATGAGTTTGCAAAGTTTCGGGCTCCTGTAGATAAGGCACGTTTCTTGATATCTGGTACCACGTAATTTGCGGGTGGTGAATTAAAAATATACTGTCTGCAAAATAGGTTTTTCTAGAATAACTTGGCAATGACGCAATGGAAATTCGAAAACAAAAATTTGTTAGAGAGCTAAAAAATATGAAATCGAATGACTCATTCATATACTGTTTCCTCTGATAGCAATGGACCTAGGGAATCTTGTTGACTCACCCTGTATAATAATTGGTCGTGTGCCACTATCATAAATAAATCGATAAAATTTCAGGTTACCCGTAATTCAATATTCGATATTTTTTGTAGATTACTTTCTGGCCAATACTTTGAAATAATCTTCAAATTCTTATAAGGAATTGATATCTCTCAGGAATTTTACTTTGGGTAATTCAGACTGCCTTTTGGACACTTTGTCAGATAAACCAAATACCTTTGTAATAATGCATTTATGGTATATCAGAAGGTTTTATGTTCAAATGAATCCATATTATCTATTGGTGTGCAAATAAGTTAATAATTGAGTGTGTTAGACCTCCCAACAACCTGTTTATTCTCTGAACATGAAATTTTTGGCATATGTATAATTGGGCTTCGACAACCTTTTTCTGGTAAATATTACTGCTAATATTATATTTGAATTCAGATCATTTCGATCTTCAAGGCATCCTTGCAGTAAAGAATAGCTTCTTTTTGATATGCTTTTATCCCATAGAGAGAGGTTTATAGAATGTGAAGAAGAGGAATAGAAATCGATCAAATTTTTTTCAATGTACATTTCACCTATAAAGTTAGCGTGTTCTTCATCAATGGTATCCATCTGATTATGGCGATTACTAGTTTTGAGTGGGTTTATGAATACACAACGGATGATCGGACGTCATTGACTAGAAATCAATCGATCATTTGAAAGTTTTTCTATGAGGGATATGAAAATTGTATTTTTGTAGGGAAGCTTTTGATCAATTCAATATTCATACATCTGTTTCTGAAAACGTCACCTTGGTTGGTGAAACATGCATCGGGAAAAGTATTGCAGTTCTTGTGTTTGGGAATAGAATTTGTTTTGGAGTTTACAGTTTTACTACAGTATAACTTTCCCAGGCGTGTTAATATTATCTTTAGCACAATATCATATATGTGAACAATATGCCTTTCTTTACTGAACTTTATGAATTTAGTAGAAGTAAGTGATTTTATAACACATATAATATAACTTGATAACCCATTTTATTCGTATATATATTCTGGAAGATCGCTTTCTACAGTGTGACACACTTAAGATGGATACACTCCTGTATCTGGAAGCAGATATTTGATTTTTTGTACATGCGTAGACCTGCATGGACCGAAATTTTCGCAATACAACGCCCAAGTGACAGCCTCAACCCCAGCCTAAGGCCACAGTAGAATAATATAACCAGTAGGCCCACTTACCACGTGATCCGCTCGACTTGCCGAGGACCTTCAACCGCTCTTAGGATGAAATTCTCAACCAATGCGTTCAGTGTTGTAGTATCGAAGGATTCGACAGTACAACGGGCATCGGATTAGTTATAATAAACGGTCGGAAATTGATATTGTGTTTAGTTTATTAGCTGTTGTTATTATTGCTTTCAGTTTTTCTTATTGGTTATGGTTGTTTGTTTTATCATTAAGTGATTAGAAAATAGTAGGTGTAAAAAAGACATTATTATATAAGCGCACGCCTATGGTTATAGAACGAAATTGGCTTCTCACTTCGTTTGGAGGTCACCGAGAACTTTGTGAATTTATGAATGAAAGTAGTGGGAGTGGACTTACTGGTTGACTTTTCTGTGATAGTTTATAATACACTGTCATCAGTGTGATCTTAACAAGTCATCAATCACACATATTAAATCAGCCAGTCGAGCAACACTGATGACAATGTATTATAGACTACAACTGAAATACATAATAGCATCTTTAAAAAACCGATATTAAAAAATTCAGATTTCAGTTTTATACTTGATAAGAGGTCAAACCCAAAACCGGTCGAGTAAATAAAATCTACCAGTGGTATTTAGCCAAAAGTGTTTTTATTCATTTCATTTAAGTGATCATCAATTACCATAAAGTAAACAAGTCATCAATCACACATACCCTTCAATGTGCGACAAAAGATGTACTTTCAGCTAGACGGAGCTTCCGTTCAAAATTTTTGGATGGTTCAAGAGTGGTAAAACGAATTTTCCATTAGAAAGTAGCCCATATAAACAGTGACCTTCTCGCTCTCTTGACATTACTCCAATGGATTCTTACTTCTGGGGAACTGTCAAGAATAGGATATACAAGTCTAGGCCACGAAATCGACAAGAACTACGGCACACCTGCCTGCCAGCCCATAAAGGTCTATGACTGTACAAAAAATCAAATTTCTGCTTTAAAAAAATGAAAAATACAGGGGTGTCTTCATCTTAAGTGTGTCACACTGTATATTTGATTTTTGACTGTCATGCCACCTAGAAACCATGGCATTACTACAACATTCAGAACAAATCTGTCAAGTTAAATGCTCCATTACTGAAATGAGTCAGATGGGGAACATTAATCTTACCTCGTCAGGATCCTTCACAGTCATATCTAATCCCGGCAGAGCTGACCCTTCTTGAATGTTCTCGGGAATTTCCACCAAATATTCCCTCTTATTGAATTCTGGTGGCTCGTCATTAACATCTCTGATTTTAATGGAAGCTTGGGCTGTTGTAACGGTCAAGGGGTCATTACCTTTAACTCCGTTGATCATTTCGTGAGCCTGAAAACGATTCGATTATGGTAATGAATACTTTTGATTACGAACACAAAGTGAATGATCGGATGCTATTCACTGGACATCAATCGGTCAACTGAAAATGTCTCTATTTTGGGGATGTGAGGTTTATATTTTGGTAGAGCAACGTATGATCAAACCCACGCGGTGATTGAATACGTCGAGTATACCTTTAACGAAATATGGAAAAGAAAATAGTGAAAGTAAGTACTGTATCGTAAAAAATTTTGGAAAAGAAAGATTTTGGCTTTTTACTTCTCTATCATCATACAAAAAAAAGTGAGAATCTTCAATTCAGTGTTTATACAATCGTAGTTCTTTCGAGAGGACTTTTTCTTCCAGTTTGTGTCTGAAAGCTACTTTTCTGCATGAGCTACACGTAAGCCAAAACCTTTCATTCCCAAAAATCAATCACCCGTTTGATTCAAATCACAGAAATATTTGAATACAGCATTACTTTTGCAAAAGTCAAGTTGTGTCAAACTTTCTGAAATATACTAGAAACTCATCAATACTTTCACTGTTTGCAACCAATCCATCTTTCTACATTTTACAGTATTTATTCTAAATTTCGAACATGTTTAACATTGGGTGACAGTGACAAGACTTCTGATATGGAGAAGATAAAAATATTACTTGATATCCAACGGAACACTTTCGATCAATTGAGTGTTCAATACATACATATATCTTTGAATATGATCATCAACATGAACATACATGCACTCATCAGATAATAAATATTTTTTTAAATTAATCCTGAATTTTTGTTCATAATTTTTTTAAGCATTCGGTACCTCATTGTAAAACTTTATACCTTCATAATAAATGGAATTTTACCTAATATTTGTTTTCATTTTCATTAATTTTAGATTGCCTGAATATCTTTTCAAATGGTTGTATTTTCGGCCAAATTAATGAAGGTACATAATTTGAACTTATGTAAGGATGACAAATCTAATAATATTTTTGGTTTATACAAGTTTACTGTGGGCTTCTTGAACTGAATAGTCACCTTATAATTTTGTTCTGAAGTTTTTCGATTGGTTTCAATAAAGAATGTGTTGCTATTCCCCATATTGATATAAGACATTGAATTTTGGAAAGTAATACATACATTTTCAGTTATCTTAAGTGTATTTGATTCATGTACATGATCCTGTCTTATTTCTTATATTGTAATGATGCATGTCTGTGTAAGTTGCGATGTTCATTGAAATTTTTCCTGATATTTAAAATGTTCTCAAATATGATAGATGAATATACAGTAATAACTTATAGAACTTTGCATAACGGTCGACAACTTTCATCAGGTTTACGGCAGTTTTTTGGATAGTAAATACCTTGTTTAGATAATTTTTTCATGCTGTACTCCAGTAGAGAATCCCGTATTTGAGAAATGAATGGAAAAGGGAATGACATGTTATCAGCGCTACATTTTGATTTATTGAATTTTTATTATCCTCATCGCATAAATTGCCCTACTCAATCTATTGCACATGTTATTTATATGACCTATCCACTTCAAATTTGAATTAAACTCCTGATTACATGATTTCCAAAGTTGAAGATTCAGTTTTTCGTTCATTTAATTTCTAGTCGTTATTATCAACCCCCTTTTTCCAAAATTATATTCAAGCTGTGCTGAAGGCAATCAAATTCACCTAATAGTTTGCTCAAAGATGTATCATTAGCATACATTATAGTTTTGATCATTAATATATATGAGAAATATTAGTGGACTCAGTATGGAACTCTATTATCGTAGAGGGGTCTATAGTGATATACTTTTTTCCCTTGCGTTGAAAAACGTGATTGTCTGGGTCGAGTTTGAATAGAAGGGTCAAATAGACCACTTTCTGTAGATCTACCCTACCCTTACTTATCCATATCAATTATCAAACTCAGTACTGCTGAAATTTATAATTTACCTTGGAATATTTTCAGTGCAATTCTGTATTTTTACTGAATAATAATTTCAGAAATGTTGTAGTCAGTGACATTAAAAGCTCATTTTCTCGTCGAGAAAACATCGAAAACATATCAACAATCATCTATTAACAAAAAAGTTATATCTGGTGTCTACTGAAATATAATTATTAAGTTTTCCCATATTAGATCGAGAAATATCCATGATAATGCCTCTCATAATTCTTAATAAGTCATTGATTTTTATCTTGTAATGTATTCACAATATTGAAATATAATTTCAAAAATGAAAATATTGCGAGCTTTTCTTCCATAACAATGTTCGTCAAGTGTGGGTTCAGCTAATGAAAAATTATGACAAAATTATTGAAATTGGGACTGTCGACATGTCCTTTCGCTGTGCACGACTTCCTATTTTATTCTATCAGATCCATCAGAGAATCAGATGTTCTATCTGAACCCAATTCATATTCAAAATACTTATAATTTCCCCCAAAAGCTCGAATCCTTAAATCTACTCATGAATATTCCTGTCGCATATTCACCCTTATAGTTAAATTCAGGACGCCATCGGTATTATCAACCGCCTCCTTATCCAAGGGCCGTGCGGTTCGCAGCTCTCCTGTTACTGCATCGAGCAGGAAATAGTCCATCGGATCTGAAACAACGTTTATCGCTCAATCATCTCGCTCCATTACACTGCACGGGAATAGATAATGATCACATGCCCGAGGGCTTTCATAAATCTTGTATTAGAAAGTGGGGATTAACAGATAACGTAAGAAAACACTGAGTGATTTTCCGTAAGGGTAGTCTGCCGATGTTCATAATTTTTTTTAGTGGTAAAATGAAGAATGGTGTTGGTGATGAAATTCATGTCTGACATTTCCACTGCCGTTAATACAATAACGGAAATAGTTATTGTTCTGAGAAACGTTTCACTTTTTGTGACTGATTACATAAATAGCTATTATGTATCTATTAGGAAAAGTTTCATTTTGTTTGATTTTCGCAAAAAACGACTATTATACCCAAGAAATATTGAATAGTATCTGATAATGCATGTTATATGACCTAATTCAAATATTTTTTATGATTTCGTTTTCTATTATTATTATTCTCTCGTTACTGAGTGTTCCATATTTATATCTTTATGAAAAAAATGTAATCTACTGTAAAAATTAAAAATTGAAAGATTTCAAACCAAGTTACGTCACGACGTTTCGATTGTTAGTATCCACAATCGTCTTCGGGTGATAACTGGACTTATTCCTCCGAGATCTGACTATTTATAGGTCATTTGAGTACTTTCACCTATCCCCTCTTCCCTCTTTCCGCTTCATTGGTTTCAGCGGGAGATGAACGTTTGGCGGGAGTTGGTCGTTATTCGCTTGATTAGAAGTTTCCATATGTTACGTATCTCTTCGCTAGCTTGACTAAATTCGTTGTTGGACAACATATACGCGGCTTCTTTGAATTTTCTCCTGAACCAATGTTCCTCTTTGTGGATGATTTCAGTTTGAGCCCACTTGATGTTATGTTGATGAGTCCAAACATACTCTGCTATTCCGGATTTGCTGTGTTCAGCAATGCGAACTTTCAATAGCCTCTTAGTTTCACCGATATACGATTCTCCGCACTGGCAGAAGTTTGAGTTTATGGCAGTGAAGTTTGAGGTATACTGAGTTGAACCTCAGTACACCTCAGTATCATTATTGAAGTATGAATGAAAATGTATGAACTTACTATTTACTAAGTCGTATAATATTTTTCTTGGTACACCCCTATCTCCATCTTCAGCATGAATTGTCAAAACTAATGTGTTTATTGTAGCGTTTTCTTCTACTTCTGCCGTTAAGTTCCCAACGAAATACGGAGGAGTATCTTGAACATCTCCTACGTTGATGCGAACGGTAGTTTCACTGGTCAACTCACCGTCCTGCAAAATAGTAATACAATTTGATATCAGTAAAACCATATTCGTCAAATCAACATTATTGAGATAAATCGACTGAACACTGAGGATTGCGCAGTTTTTTTCTTGTTGGTACGTCAACAGAGGAAAGTGGATATTCTCATGTTGATTATCGTACAGTTTACCTGAACATACAGGGCATTTCAACGAAAACTTGACTCTCCCTCTGTAAGTCAGAAACGGACCTGTAATCGAAAATTTCGAAGAACACGTCAATTTTCATTTCTAGGGGGACTTATTCTGATATGGAAATCATACCCTAAACCACCCCCTACATATTCATCATTTCGATATAGGTTGCAACAATTTCTATTCTTTTTTCAGTAGAATAAACCATGTTGGAAACAGTGAACAAGGATGACTGAATAATAATTCGAGAAGAAGTGACAGTGGCCAACTATCTACTTTTTGTTCTGCGACAACTAGATTCAACAAAAACTACCAATGCAGAATCTAGAAGACCTGTGACGAATAATTTTTCGGGAATGCCGATTTCCGACTCCGTACATCTTCAATAATGTAAGGAATGCTTTCGAAAGTAGACTGTATTGTTGTATGGAACTAGATGGAGGTCATTTTGAACACTTCATCCGTTGATTGTGTTGCCATTGATATTACTTTTGTTGATTTCCTCAATACAATGATCAACAGCGATCCTGAGCACACATGACGTTTTTCAGCGCAATTTGAAAACATCCCGTATATTCATTTCAATCGGTTCAACAGGTCTAGTGGATCTAATCGCTGGAAAACTCTATAAACCCTGCCTAGATTTCAAAACTATTTCATCGATTTTATACATCGAGGAAAATAATCATCTGAAAAAATACACCTTACAAAATAACCACTTAAACAGCTCACTCAATAGCGGATATAGGATTTTCCAGTTGAACCAATACATACCGTCGTCTTGAGAACGAATTCGTATTCCTGTCGATCGGAGTAGTTTAATTTTCTTTTGAGAGTTATCGCCCCTTGGTAGGAATTCTGCTCGGAGTGGATCGTCTCAATATTGAAGATCTCGCAAGCATCCGGATATTCTGGAATATTTATGCATTCCACCTCGATATTCGATCCAGTGGTGTCTTTATCGGCGACGATAATATTCGAAAACACTTGTGTGCCTGGCAACGTGTCCTCGTTAACGGTGATTTCGTATGGCGTCTGGAAAAATAGAGGTCGGGTTGTATTGAGGTCACGGGGAATAATTATATCCGTGGAGGGTCGGATTCAGGTAGATTAGTGGATTATAATTCGGTTCAGGAGAATATAAATATAGTACGAACTAAAATCACAACTAGATTTAAATAAGTTAACTTTGAAGCAATTTTCAGTAGTTTGAGAACAAAAATTAATTAATTTCACAGATTGTAAAATGTATTAATTATTGCTGATGTGAATTAAAAAACATAAAACCATGAAAGCTATAAATAATCAAACATTCCTAAATTATTTATTCATTCAACGAACAACCCAACAATATTTTAGTGTAGTTGTTTGTAATCGTCTCCAATGTACCTCTTCCGAAATACACTACACCGCAAGAATCTATTTCGAATAATCTCTAACCAGTCAATATCTGAATTATAACAAGGCGACCATATTAAGATAAAATTGAGTATAGATCTCATGAGAGCACACTGAATAAACTTTACATAATTCCCAGACAATTCTTTAGCTACGAGAAGAGTAAACCCTAACCTCTAAAAAGCTCTCGATGTAGTTTCTGTTATGGGACATTTGAAGATAATTCTGCTGTCGGATATTAAGTCTTTAATTTTATTGGTCACTGATTGGAACATATTTGTGTTATTAGAGAATAAGTAGAATTTGGAACCTCTGGAGTGAAATCTATTGAAAATACAATTTTCTCACCAGAACAAAATGCTATCTCTCGACGCCCGTTTCGCTAACAATAGAATTGTCAATTCAGTAAATATAAAAAATAGCACTTGTCTCTTTCACGACAAATATCGATGAAGCAATAAAATAACAATTCAGTAGTATATCACACTTGATAGTTTTATAGCGTTTCATTCTAAATTACTAGCATCATCGATAACAACTTTTAATTTACGGTACTGTCGTTAGTTCGTATGTGAATTGTTTTGATTTCTTCAAAACGTATTCAAATATTGGAATACCCCAGACTTTACCCAATGATTTCGATAAGAAGATACCCCAACACAACGAATATTTGTGTTTGGAAATTTTTGTAAAACAGTAGTCTTTGTTTCAAGGCTGATTTCCCCTGCATCAATTTTGACCGGAAGACCAAGTTGCGAGATGGCTATAGCGAAGAAGGTAATACACCAAAATGGTCGAACGCATAACATATGCGAATTCGTTATCGAAAAGACCGTATACCATATAACAACGCAAGTACTGGAGATATGAGAAAGAGAGAGAGACAGTGACCTGAAGATAGGTTCGAATGCCCGAAGAATACGCTTTCGTAACGCGTATTTATGCTGTGTTAGATTGTTTGAAGTGCTACTACCTGTACCTGGATCAGGTAATTTGTCGCTAACATTCATTGACTTCTTTCTACCTGGTGTCGTGTCGTTTGCTATCCTTAAACTCCTTAGAATGGGATTTCCTATTCGATTGAGGTTCACCGCTTCTTCTTTTCTGTTGAAATTATCCGTGTTTTTGTGGATCTCTACTGCCTCCCTTACCAGTTGGCTATGGTATCCCTGGTTGGGGGCAATGAGTTCTGTGTTTCCAAACAGAATCCTGTGGTTTCCTTCACTGAGTGCGTGTTCTGCCACAGCTGACTTATCTGTTTGACCCAGTTTGCAGTTTTGAAACCCACCAGGTAAATACAACAAAGCCTCAGGTAGGCCCACTATCAGCAGCAGGGGTCTATCGCATACCGTGTACTTGTGAGAAGGTATGTATCAGAACCACCAAAAGATCCATGGAAATAAGGCTGAAGGAGCAGACAGAAGAGAAACAGAGAAACAGAGAAACTGCAGACATACGGATAATTTCAACAGAATAGAAGAAGCAGTGAACCTCAATCGAATATGGAATCCCATTTCAAGAAGTTAAAGGATAGCTGATAGGAAGGAGTCAATGAATGTTAACGACAAATTACTTGATTCAGGTGAAGGTATTAGCACTCCAAACTGTCTGACACAGCATAAATACGCGTTAAGAAATCATAATTTTCAGTCATCGGCTAGTAATCCAGAATTAGCGCATCTACCGTTTTTGCAATGAAAATCAATTATCGAACTCATTTCGCAATTGAAAAACACATCGTGAGCAAAAATTGTTATGATGAAAAGTTATGTTACTTTTGATCGTGACTTAATGTAAAATATGTGTTATTCATTCATCAGTTCAAAATTTAAGATTTATTACAAGCTGCAAATTCCACGAGTTAAATTTAGGGAATATCAAGTAAAATTATTCTTCCTATTTTGCACTTTGGAAAAAAAAGTTTGAGATATATTATAATCGTTAGTGGAACTATCAAAAAGAAGTCGTTGATGATTCTATTAGTTATTACTTATTTTGATTTTTAAAGGACGTAGCTAGTTCAAAAAATATCAATACCGCCATTAGTGTGTCCGAATGTGTATGATTTTGCGAGTCACAATATACTAATAAATATTGATCATTAAATCAATATGAAGCTGGCAGAAATATTCAAATATCATAATTGAAAGAATCGTTGATTATGAATCAGTTCTTACGTTCATAAACTCAGGTGAGTTATCATTTTCATCTGATATGATAATTGTAATGGGAACTTCGACGATATTATTCTTTCCTCCTCCTTCCACTTCGTCTTCTATACTCACAATAACGTTGAGTGTGTTGTTTTTCTGAAATAAAAAAAATCAACATTACTTTATTTTCACATTACGGTTGTTCTGAATGCAAAATACAGAAAAATATAATTTGTACGTATATGTGGAAAAAAGAAGCTCTTTATCTGATTTAATCTTGAAAAAAAGCAATTTGCCAGCAGAAAAATTCCAGAGTTATTTTCTTTTTGGAAGGTTCACGATCCTCATTAGACCAATGAAGATATGTATATGCTTGAGAAAGCAATACTTTATGAATATTTCAGATAGTTCTAGTGTGTCATTATTGCCTAGAATTGATATGAATGAGAATCTGAATTCTCACTTTTCAGTAACCCAGTATGTTATGTCGGCGATTCTCATGAAACCACTTCTACGGTGGCGAACGTATCACCAACAGCTACAACACAATTAGATCAGTGATACGTTCCTCAGTCAAAACCCTTGGGCTTAATGGGTTGAAAAATATTGGAAACACCTGTTTCATAAACAGTGTAATCCAATGTTTATCCAATACGAAATGGCTATTGGAATATTTGAAAAAAGATGAGTACATGAAAGATATCAATATTTATATTTCTAGTTCGGAGCGTGCTTTATTCAAAGCTTTTGCAGAGTTATCAAGGAATTGTGGTCAGGAAATTCATCTGATACAGCAGTGAACACAGTCTCCCTAAAAAGTCAGATTCAGAGTTTTGCCTCTCGATTCATGGGTCATGCGCATCAAGACGCCCAGGGGTTCCTTCGTTATCTTTTAGAAGGTTTGTTTACATGATGACGTTAATAGAATTATTGAGAAACCTAAACCGACCTTAACGGAGATTAACAAAAAATTGAGCGACAGCGAAAAAGCACAAAAGTCATGGTTGATTTATTTGAGTACATATAACTAACTCTAAGATTGTAGATAATTTCGTTGGTCAATTGAAATCCACGACGAAGTGCACAAATCTGTAACCTTCGATCCTTCCTGGGATTTGTCACTCCCCATACCAGAAAGAACTAACCAATTGAGTTTATCACAGTGCTTGGATTTCAAAAGATTTTCTCTAACAGAAAGATTTAGAGGCAAGTTAAATGTTGCCATCGTATTTCCTCTAGATGGATTAGATATGAACAATTATGCAGCAGATAATGTGACTCGTTGTCGCTATGCACTTTCGAATCACAGTGGGTCTACCTACAACGGACATTATACAGCATTTTGCAGACATCCTTATAATGGCACGTGGCACGAATACAATGATTCACAAGTGTCACGAATTTCACCAAAATCGTTTGTGAGTGGAGATGCATACATCCTCTTTCCTGAAAAGGAGGAAACGAGTTCGCACCTTTGAGCGTTTTGTAAAGTTATTTTTGAACAGTTCATTTTAATGTTATGTATTATCTAGTTAGATGCTTAAAAGTTATGAATTGAAGAAGTCTATTTCATTCAGGTAGGTAAATTGAAGCTGTACGTGAAATAACAAAAATGTTGCCAAAAATAACAAAAACGTTATCAATACCTAATCTGATATATCAAAACAATAATTATTTATCCATGGTGATTGTACAGTCCGTAAAAGTGTTTTTCCTATATAAGTTGAAAATCTAGAGAAGAAAATTGGATTGGCTAATTTTGGAAACACTTGCTACATGAATAGCATTTTACACGTGTTGGTTACGATGAAGAATTTCAAGAACGTCATTGTTCACTGTGCTTCACTGTGGGAGTTGTGTCACGAAGTGTTCTGGCGATGTATCCCTACATTTTGTTTTATGAGAGAGAGGAAGGACATTGGCAGATCAAGATATTCAGATGATGTGGTGCTGCAGGGTTTTCCGGGTTTAACTGCAGCTGAAAAAGCAAATGCGCTACTGGAATCAATGAAGTCGCCCCAGAGCCCCAATTAATTTTTATTGTTGTTTTTATTTTTATCGTTGTTTTATAATTTCACAAATAAATGATATTTACGAGTTGAACTGAAATTTATTTTCAAAATATATATTGTTTCCATTTCCTGCTTCATATGTACAGAAATTTGTGTTAGGTTTTCATTTTTGTAATAGTAAGATCAATATTCTTCATTATTTAGATGAAGTTCATTCATGATGAATTACCGAAGAAACCATCGTATGGCGAAACTATGCAGCTCTCCCTTTTTGAACTTGTGAATTTAGAAAACTAGTTCAGGATCCAATCGTATTTGGATCAATCCACAAGTAGTATTTTTGGATCAATACTCAGTAATTTTTATATGTTATGGAAGTTGAATAATTATTATTTTGGAATCTCAGATAAGGTATTGATAATTCAGGTAACATTTTTGATATTTGAGATACAGGTTCAATTAACCTACCTAAAAATGGCATTGACTATATCATTGTTTATATAAGGATTTGTTTGTCTGACTGCTTCACTTTATTTTGAAATGGTTTAATGCACCAAAACCGGTCGTAACAAATAAAAATCTTCGTAGAAATAAGACAAAAGTTATTTTCTCTACCCTAAATTTAATGTGAATTTCCTCAAAATGAATAGGTCATCAATCGAACAAGAAGCCATACCTTACGAAGAACTATCATCAAATCTTCTTATTTGTGAGTTGGTGCATTCAAATGTTGAAATTTGTTTCAACGGAACATTTCAAATGTGAAATACTTTCGACCCAACCACTCGTACCCTATCTCACATACCTCCTGTTCACTTTCTGCAATAAATCTTTTATAGGAGAGACGTCGCCGAGCTTGACATGAGAAGTCAATTTCTCTTTGGCAGTTGTGTTGAAGTTAGCTATTCGTTTCAGTATTTCTCCTGCGAAGTATTTCCTCGGGATTTTATGGTTGTATTTTGTGGTAGAATAATTGTCTGCTTTTTTCACACGGCATGGGACAACTTTTGGCGATTTCATAAAGAATCAGAAGTTGGTATAGTTTGATGACTTCACACTTATTTTGAATATTGCAGACTAGGTATCACAGCATCCAAAAATCACTAATATTTTGAATTCATCATATGAAATAGGATTTATGGATGAGGAAAAATGTTTTTTTATATAACATTAGAGATTACTTTTGTTTGAAAGTGGTTGACAATATTTCATGGTGAATTTCACTAGTTCGGATTTCCATTGTCTTATATTATTCTAATATGATTTAAAATTATCTGAAAGAACAAGTAAAATTAAAATGAATAGCTATAAATATAAATTATATTGAGCAATGAAGCCTGAAATGAAATTATAATAAAATAAAAATAAGCAAAAAATTGTTCAATTTTCAGTTGTTCGCGTATTTTTTTATTGTGATTTCATTTCATGTTTTATTGCTTAATATAATTGATAGTTTTAGCTATTCATTTTATTTTTTCTTTCAGAGGTTTCAAATCATATTATCATAATATGAGACAATGGATGTACGAACTGGGAAAATTAGAGATTTCTATTTATCTTCCATAAAAAAAACTACAAAACAGCAGTAGTCCGTTATAATAAGCAAAACACTAGTTGAAGCGAATGACGTCACGTCTATGTAAATTCTGCATTTCGACAGTAATTCAACAAACTCGTTTATTTGTTTTAATCATGTATTTTGTATTTCTTTCGAGTAATTCTAGCCATAGGTTACTAAAATCAAACACAGCCAATGTTCACTAGGGAACAAGGACTTTAGGGAAACTAACTTTAATAGTGTTAATTTGTTGACGCTAGGAGGGTTTGTTGCATCAAAAAAAGACTTTCATATGAGTACATTTATTATACTGAAATCTATTTCAGTTATGAAAATTTATTTCAAGGTAATGTTGAAACCCATATCGTAGATTCACATCACGTTAGGCCTTCCTAAGGTGATGATGCTGCACTCTTACGGTATTGACGAGACACCGGTGTTGCCCTACGCTACGGGGGATATTGAATATATTGTGGGGAACGAGAAATGACGAATGTATTGGAACTATTCGTTTCCCACCCTCGGACACGTACAAGCTAATAAGCCTGATATAGTCCTTCCGAACCACCAGAGCAAGACGATATTTGTCGAGGAGTTTTTAGCTCCTGGCGAGACGAATATCGTCAGAAAAGCGGAGGAAAAACAGATAAAATATCGAGATTTTCTCTCTCCAGACCGCTCTGTCAAGAAGGTTATTCTGATTGGAGTTGTGGAATTGGCCGCGGTGGTAGTGCGCCCGACTCACGATCGGAAGACCGTGGGTTCGATTCCTGCCTCGGCTAGATATTTTTCTCGAGAGAATTTATCTGGTTGAAGCTGGGATGATTCTGCAACCATGTTAGGAATCACACGTTGAACGGTAAGACCTCGTTAGTCCTTAGCTCGCACAAGTTTCGACTTTTGAGAGTTGTCGTTCGTATGGGGGCGACAGCTGATTAACGGAAACACAGATTTCAAACAGATTTTTTCAAACAGATTATTCGAGTCCTTGATGAAATGATGTCCTCTCTATTCTCGAATCTTAATCTCGAATCTTAGCCGGACAGATGCAGAAGGCTGTCATTCTTGGCTCACTGCGCTTGCTCAGGGCACATGATTCTCGGTCCCAATGATCACTTACCCCACGGTGTGGGGAGTGATCGTTGGTTGATAATGCTGCCGCGCCCTCCCGAAAGTATCGGGGGATAGGGCCTGACCAGCGCAAACAACAGTTAAAAAGGCCAACAAGCACCAAACTACGACGTACCCATCACACTTTGAGTCAAGGCGTGTTGCTGACCACCAAACAGCACTGCCTTGATAGGATACGAATGCTAGTGGCTACTAAGAAGTCACTACTGAGGCGAGTGAGAAGTATCGCGGAAAACCTTAGTTTCCGCGAGAAACCTTTTCGCTTATTCCCAGAGCCTCCACGTGTTGTTGATAATCCGCCGACCGCTGATCAGGTGGAATCCTTCTGGGAGGATATTTATGAACATCCGCAGCCACTCAACCTAGACACTCCAGCCCTAGCGCAGTTCGAAGCTTTCAACAGAGAGCTTCGACAGCCTGAGCACAATGAACTGCGCAACCCGATAACCCCGGATGACGTT